GCATTGGAGAAGTGTTGTATTGTGACAGTGTTGTAGTTGTGTTGTAAGTATTATTGTGTTATTGTCGTGACTGTGTTGCATTGGAGAAGTGTTGTATTGTGACAGTGTTGTAGTTGTGTTGTAGGTGCCATTGTGCTTTTGTCGTGACTGTGTTGCATTGGAGAAGTGTTGTATTGTGACAGTGTTGTAGTTGTGTTGTAAGTGCTATTGTGTTATTGTCGTGACTGTGTTGCATTGGAGAAGTGTTGTATTGTGACAGTGTTGTAGTTGTGTTGTAAGTGCTATTGTGTTATTGTCGTGACTGTGTTGCATTGGAGAAGTGTTGTATTGTGACAGTGTTGTAGTTGTGTTGTAAGTGCCATTGTGCTTTTGTCCTGACTGTGTTGCATTGGAGAAGTGTTGTATTGTGACAGTGTTGTAGTTGTGTTGTAAGAGTTAATGTGTTATTGTCGTGACTGTGTTTCAATGGAAAAGTGTTGTATTGTGACAGTGTTGTAGTTGTGTTGAAAGTGCTATTGTGTTACTGTCGTGACTGTGTTGCATTGGAGAAGTGTTGTATTGTGACAGTGTTGTAGTTGTGTTGTAAGTGCTATTGTGTTATTGTCTTGTTTTCGTGACTGTGTTGCATTGGAGAAGTGTTGTATTGTGACAGTGTTGTAGTTGTGTTGTAAGTGCTATTGTGTTATTGTCGTGACTGTGTTGCATTGGAGAAGTGTTGTATTGTGACAGTGTTGTAGTTGTGTTGTAAGTGCTATTGTGTTATTGTTGTGACTGTGTTGCATTGGAGAAGTGTTGTAGTTGTGCTGTAAGTGTTATTGTTTTTATAACTTTGTTCTCGAATATGATCGAACATGATTTATATTTTAATTTCATAACTATTATTTACGGATCGCTGTGATATCGATAGAAACAGTCAAAGTAGTTGTTTAATGCCCCCCACAAACAGTATTTCAGTTATATCTCAATGGTATCACAGTGTCCACAACCTAAAGCGCTTCAGCTCTTAAGACTATTAACACACTGGTGAAGCCCAATTGCAAGGATATGACGCTGCCAGATCTACATAAGTAAATATTGCGAACCCGTTTCCTGGAATGTCAAAGGGACGCAATCCTGCAGTATATATTCTGTTTTGTTACACCATGGGCACCGAATGCAATAAATATGAACATTCATATTTGCATGAAAATCACCCACCATTTAAAGAACAACAGACAGGGTTAGTTATTCAACAAACGTTATGTTGTACGAGAGAAGGCCCACGTTGCTAGGTGTTAACATAGCCTGTCTCACAGTCCCTCATTATTTTCCCTACTGCCTAGCCCTCCCTGCAATGTAGTCTGTCTCACAGTCCCTGAACCACATTATTTTCCCTACTGCCTAGCCCTCCCTGCAATGTAGTCTGTCCCACAGTCCCTGAACCACATTATTTTCCCTACTGCCTAGCCCTCCCTGCAATGTAGTCTGTCTCACAGTCCCTGAACCACATTATTTTCCCTACTGCCTAGCCCTCCCTGCAATGTAGTCTGTCTCACAATCCCTGAACCACATTATTTTCCCTACTGCCCTAGCCCTCCCCCCTGCAATGTAGTCTGTCTCCACAGTCCCTGAACCACATTATTTTCCCTACTGCCTAGCCCCTCCCTGCAATGTAGTCTGTCCCATCACAGTCCTGAACCACATTATTTCCCCTACTGCCTAGCCCTCCTCCCTGCAATGTAGTCTGTCTCACAGTCCCTGAACCACATTATTTTCCCTACTACCTAGCCCTCCCTGCAATGTAGTCTGTCTCACAGTCCCTGAACCACATTATTTTCCCTACTGCCTAGCCCTCCCTGCAATGTAGTCTGTCTCACAGTCCCTGAACCACATTATTTTCCCTACTGCCTAGCCCTCCCTGCAATGTAGTCTGTCTCACAGTCCCTGAACCACATTATTTTCCCTACTGCCTAGTCCTCCCTGCAATGTAGTCTGTCTCACAGTCCCTGAACCACATTATTTTCCCTACTGCCTAGCCCTCCCTCCAATGTAGTCTGTCTCACAGTCCCTGAACCACATTATTTTCCCTACTGCCTAGCCCTCCCTGCAATGTAGTCTGTCTCACAGTCCCTGAACCACATTATTTTCCCTACTGCCTAGCCCTCCCTGCAATGTTGTCTGTCTCACAGTCCCTGAACCACATTATTTTCCCTACTGCCTAGCCCTCCCTGCAATGTAGTCTGTCTCACAGTCCCTGAACCCCATTATTTTCCCTACTGCCTAGCCCTCCCTGCAATGTAGTCTGTCTCACAGTCCCTGAACCACATTATTTTCCCTACTGCCTAGCCCTCCCTGCAATGTAGTCTGTCTCACAGTCCCTGAACCACATTATTTTCCCTACAGCCTAGCCCTTTCCCTGCAATGTAGTCTGTCTCACAGTCCCTGAACCACATTATTTTCCCCCTCTGCCTAGCCCTCCCTGCAATGTAGTCTGTCTCACAGTCCCAGAGCCACATTATTTTCCCTACAGCCTAGCCCTCCCAGCAATGTACCCTGTCTCACAGTCCCTGAACCACATTATTTTTCCTACAGCCTAGCCCTTCCTGCAATGTAGTCTGTCTCACAGTCCCTGAACCACATTATTTTCCCTACTGCCTAGCCCTCCCAGCAATGTAGCCTGTCTCACAGTCCCAGAGCCACATTATTTTCCCTACTGCCTAGCCCTCCCAGCAATGCTAAAGCCCTAAATGAAGCAAGTCTAGATTACCTCAGGTTCTGAATCTCCCATCTGACGGGCGCTCCTTTTCAATTAAAATGGGTTTATTTGTTGCTATAAAAAATAATATATTCAGAAACTAAGCTTTAGTCTAGGTGTTAACTGTGAGTGTGGCACGGTAATGCAAACTGAATGAACTCTTTACGTCCTGGTTTCAATATCTTGTTCCTTTTAACGTAAATGTATGGAATCCTGGAAGGGACATTGTCGTGTTGTCGCGTTGTCGCCCTCTCAAATACAAGCAAAATTAACCAAAACGCGACACGCGACATCGCGACAACGCGACATTTCGCCCATTTGTTGCATTGTCGCGATGTCGCGTGTCGCGTTTTGAATAATATTTTTTATTCCTCCAAGGGCGACACGCGACATAGCGACAATGCGACAAATGGGCGAAATGTCTCGTTGTCGCGATGTCGCGTGTCGCGTTTTGGTTTATTTGGCTCACTTTACTTGTTTTTGAGAGGGCGACAATGTCCCTTCTCGGATTCCATATAAATGTGTACCATCTGTTCTGTTTGTTTGTTGAAGATCTAAGTGAGTGAGTGAGTTAAGTTTTATGCTACACTCAGCAAAATTCCAGCTATATGGCGACTGTCTGTAAAAATCGAGTCTGGACAGTCAATCCAGTGTTCAACAGCATGAGCATCGATCTATGCAGTTGGGATACGATGACATGTCAAGTCAGCGATCCCTCTTACGTTAGTCGCCTCTTACGACAAGCATGGGTTACTGTAGACCAATGCTAACCGTGGAAGCCGCGATGACTGAGTGGTTTAGACATCCGACTTTGCGTGCTGTCGATTAGGTGCCTGACTCTGAGTGTGTGGGTTCGACTCAACCCAACAAAAGTACTAGAATCTGTACTTTACTGAGAAAGTGTAATGCCCAATATAACCTGTGTTAAATTCTAACTTGAAGCATTATGGGTTAATTACTATCTAATTTATAAGACGTACTCGTTAAAAATAAGAATAGAATGTGACTGAATATAGTTTTGTTGCTGAAATAAATTCTTTCAGCATTCCTTTCAATATTTTAACTACCTGTAAGATGGGGTAGCCTAGTGTTTAAAGCGGTCGCTCGTCGCAAGACCCCGGGTTCGATTCAATGTGTTGCTAAAAGCGGCGTGATACTAAACTCACTCACTCAACTATCTGTACTCCTCCCCCCAAATCTGACATTGCATGTCGCGCTGAATTCCAAGAATTGGCTACTCATATGAATTTCTAAGAAATGACCCAGTGAGTGCAAACAGTGGAAATATGCAATGCTTGAAAGGTTATTTGTTGACTTCTTTTGGAAATCCGTGCGTTTGAAACATATATTAGTCTATGACTATAACCATGTTTATCTTAAACTTCAGTAATATCTGTTACATAGATTAGTACCTGTGGCATCTTTTAGGATGTTCTAAGATAGCGAACCTGTGTACACGTGGCTGTGTATTTCCGAGTTTCGTAAATAGCACAGTTTTCAAAGCACGGTAGGACACAATTTTCATATCGATAATCATTAATAAGTTTTCCTATTGACGATATTTCCGATTATCGATCATTTTATCCAGCCCTAATTATAATTTAAGCGACGTTTCGGTGTAGCTGTTACTTACATTAGGGACAGTTCATAATTTATGGCTAGTGTGTGTGTGTGTGTGTGTGTGTGTGTGTGTGTGTGTGTGTGTGTGTGTGTGTGTGTGTGTGTGTGTGTGTGTGTGTTGTGTTACATTGTTCATACATTTGAGCCATAAATTATAAACGGTCCCTTTTAATGAAAAAGTTATATATTTTTGTAACGTTCCAATGTTGGTCGGGCGGTGGGGTAGCCTAATGATTATAGCGTTGGCTCGTCACGCCGAAGACCCGGGTTCGAATCCCCACATGGGCACAATGTGTGAAGCCCATTTCTGGTGTCCCCCGCCGTGATGTTGCTGGAATATTGCTAAAAGCGGCGTAAAACCAAACTAACTCAGTCAGTCAGTCAGTCCAATGTTGGTCGTCCGCACTCAGCTTTTTTGTTAATTTGAAGTGTATAATCGTCAAATAATAATTTATAGACTTTTTTCATTGACAAACAAGACCTTCAACACTGAATATGTACTCATGGCGGTTAACCACAGTCATGAAGCATAGCTGCATGTACAGCAATAGAAATAACGCCTGTGATAAATATAGAAACTCATTGGGGAAACCCATGCCATAATGACTCGTAATGTTAAAGTACAAATGACCTGTATAAACTGACAACAGAGTACGTGTACGTATTTACAACATCCTCGTTGTTAACCACATAGTAAGACTTGTGCCATTCCTTTAATGAGAGTTTAGTTGATTTTAAACATAGATAGACGTGGCATCGTGTGTTCATGCCTAACTCTGTCGAAAGATTCAACATCGTGATAGTGCTGTGATAGTTTGACCTCGCACCGCACTTCAGCTTGACAACGACTTGTCATTGTGTCAGGTGTCGATACTGTGGGGTTTGCCCATGTTGATTCAATGTACAGTGCAATATAGGGGATTTACCAGGGAGTATTCCCAACGCTCAACGACCATATAACACCGAAAGAATAACAGCGACCTCACTTCCACTGTAACTTGACGGTCGTGAACACTTGTCTGCCACATAGCATCAACTGGAACGATGGCAAAATGTGCATATGTATTTGTCGTCATCTGCCTGTTTTTCGTCTCAATGGCACTTGGACGTCCAAACATTTCGTGGATAAGACCTCCGAAAGGTAAATCACGTTACTGTTGAAATTTGCTGTTCACGATACACATTTTTGCACGCTGCCTTGTAGCTTGTAGTTTAGAGCTTCGTCTCCTCACACCAAAGATGTAGATAATTTATAAATTGACGAGATTTGTGACGTACCCCCTAAATATTTGGCTTCAATGTTGCATGTCTATATATACTCAGCAGCAAAAAACCCCGTCAGTACGAATCCAAATAAGATAGGCATTGTAATCAAATCATTACAGAAATGAACATTATAAACGGATCAAAAACATTTTTTGTGTTCAATATCTTGACACATCAATGAATAACTCAGCACAATTTCAAGACATTACGTGAACGTTTGCAGTCCATTCAGACTCTTGACTTCAGTATCTAGTGTGACCACCACGATCGGCAATAACTGCAGCACAGCGTCTATGCATGGATTGCACCAATCGGTTGATGAAGGCCACTGGCACCTGGAATCACACTCTAAGAAAAGGCCTGGCGCAATAAATCGGCTGTGTTCGGCCTTGGTATGACATTATTCAGTCTCCTCTGAATTTCATCCCAAAGATGTTCAATTGGGTTTAAATCAGGACTAAGGGCTGGCCACTGCATTATGTTGACACCGTTCTGCTGTAGGAAGTCCCGTGTAGCTCTGGCAGTATGGGCCCGGACGTTATCATGCCGGAAAATGTTGTTCCTGTGACGTGCGAAATGTGGTATGACGTGGGGTCTGACAGATTGGTCGATGTAGCGCACCGCTGTGATTCCGCCTCCTCTCCCTGGACCAAGGTTCTCCAACACCACAAGACCCGCTCTCTGGTTCAGGCCTATTCCACCCCATACCATGATGCTTGCACCTCCCCATGAGTCTCTTTCCATGACATTGGTCTGAGTAAAACGCTGGCCACGTCGTCGTCATATTCTTGTTCTGCCATCTGCAGTTGATACGCAGTACCGACTCTCATCTGTGAACAGAACAGTTCTCCATTGCCTGTATCGCCAGTTTTGGTGTTGTAGGGCCAACTGTAGACGTTCACGCCGATGACGAGGGGTGAGGATAGGTCCACGGTAAGGTCTACGGCAATGGAGGCTCCCGCTGTTAAGACGTCGGCGTACTGTATCAGTACTGATTGGTCTTCTGTGTGTTCCCACTTTCTGCCGTGCTGTTTCGGATGCCTGCATGAAGGGATTCTGTACATGCTGTCGCACAACCTGGCGGTCTTGTCGTCTTGTGGTCACCCTTGGTCTGCCAGTACGGGGGCGATCATTTGTGGTGTTGGTGGCCCGGAAACGTTGCTGCAGCCTGTAGATGGTCCGAACGTTGACTTGGAAGTGATTGGCAACGGCTTGTGCAGTGTGGCCAGCTTCAAGTCTTCCTAGCGCCTGGTTCCTCTGAGCTGTCGTGAGTCGCGGCATCCTGCTGACGTTGTAATGTGAATTTTTCAACCAGGTTTGGGGGTGCATTTTATAGGGCTGGTCCTTGTGAACAGCACGTGCAGCATGAGTTGCATGAAAAACATGGAGAACACCGTACCATCTCCGAGATCAGGTTGCGTTTTTGAGACCATTTCCTGGGTTCCATTCTGAGTTTGGGAATGAATGTCTTTGCTCAGGTAAAGTTGGAGATGTTGTCAAAAATATACGATCAAAATATTAAATGAGTTTACAGTTATCCGTTTCTGCGAAGGAAAATTCCAAACTGACGTTTCTTTTGCTGCTGAGTATATGTGACTCACCTTGAAAATGTAATTGCTCACAGATATAACTTCAGCAATATTAGAAAATGAATATGAGAGAATGAGAGAGAGAGAGAGAGAGAGAGAGAGAGAATCTGAGAGAGAATGAATATGAGAGGAGAGAGAGATGCAGAGAAATTGAGAGAGAGAATGAATACGAGAGAGAGAGAGAGAGAGAGAGAGAGAGAGAGGCAGAGAGGTAGAGAGAGAGGAGAGAGAGAGAGAAGGGAGAGAGAGAAAGAGAGAGAGAGAGAGAGAGAGAGAGAGAGAGAGAGAGAGAGAGAGAGAGAGAGGGAGAGAGAGAGAGAGAGAGAGAGAGAGAGAGAGAGAGAGAGAGAGAGAGAGAGAGAGAGAGGAGAGAGAGAGAGAGAGAGAGAGAGAAAGAGAGAGAGAGAGAGAGAGAGAGAGAGAGAGAGGAACGCTTAAAAAATACATGTCATAACCGTACATATTCATGGAATACCTGATGTATTAGGGCAGCATAGTAATTAAAGCGTTCACATACTGGAAAGAGGGTAGCCGGCCTAAGTGTCAAATTGACCGAATTGTCACTACGCTTAAATTGTAGCAGTTATAATGGATTGATCGTGACTGTTAGTTATCAATATTTGTACATTTCTACGTTACAGGTGATCGGAGTCACAGGACAGCAGAAGTGCCTTCAGCAGGCTGCCAGATCTTCACTGCAGTTCGCCAATGTCAGCCGACACTTTTTTCCAGAAAACTGTAAATTCATGTGCGACATTATGACCCGAATTTGCAAGGCTGCTCCTCCAGTCAGATACCACCACTGTACGTCTGACGTTATCAAGTGTTACCTCAATACCATGGTAGCGCATCTCAACGGTACCACGAACTACACAGAATCACCAAACGGTGCCACACAGTTCCTTGTTGACCTCGGACAGTCACAGAATTGTACACGTGCAGGGACTGGTTGAGGAATAGACACATAGCTATACTACATGTGTACATAGCATCAACATCGTAGATGTAAACAATTCTTGATGAGGTGGTGATTCGCTACCATAAGGACTCCATCTGTGATACCTTCCAATGTCTATGTCTAAAAACGATAAACACTGCTCACGGAATGATGCTGCTGGAGTATTCCTGAAGAACAGACTTTAAGTGTTCTTTTATCCCCCTTCTCACTCAGAATGATGTTCCATCTGTGATACCTTTCTGACAGAATCTCTTACTGGAACGATTGCGACAACTCATAATGTCCAACGCCATAATGTTGCTGGGATCTGGGTGCCTGGGAAGTACTCTTTCAATCCCTTTTCACCCAGCAGGATGCTATATACACAACATCTCCTGCAATGTGGACATGGTGAAGGAAATGTCTGTCATTGTTCCCTCAGTGGAGCAATCGTCTTCTTCCACGAGACTGCCATCTTCTTCCACGAGATGAACAATGTACAAGTGTGTATAAAACACTCGTAGTGCCAAAGCCAGTCTACCTACGTGTCTGGCTGTACTTACCATTATAGGCATCTAGTTTAGAAACCTTGTGATGTAATATGTTGGCGATACAGCAATATACAATTGTGTACAAAACACCCGTAGTGCCAAAGCCTGTCTACCTACATGTCTGGCTGTACTTACCATTATATGCATCTAGTTTAAGACCCTTGTGATGTAATATGTTGGCGATATAGCGATAAGCGATTGTGTATAAACACCCGTAGTGCCAAAGCCTGTCTACCTACGTGTCTGGCTGTACTTACCATTATAGCATCTAGTTTAGAACCTTGTGATGTAATGTGTTGGCGATACAGGGATATACAATTGTGTACAAAACACCCGTAGTGCCAAAGCCTGTCAACCTACGTGTCTGGCTGTACTGGCTATCATAGGCATCTAGTTTAAGACCCTTGTGATGTCATATGCTTACTTCCATATGGCAATAGAAACTCCACTGATATTGTATTATACGTCGTTTACATGTCTGGAAACAAGTTGACTCTGGTATTTACATGTGATGCATATTTTTAATTTTTGATAGTTCATGTGCATTGAGATGGAATAAAATTAGATCAAATTATCCCGTTTTGGACTGTTAATGTTAATCCGATGACGTCTTGTAAGCATTTGGTCCAAGGTTGGGAAGCTGGTCTAAGTCTGAGAAGCACCCATGTATCCATGGCAACCAGTTCCCAGCCAATCTCGAGCTGGATATTTCAAGATATTTCAAAGTCGTGATACTTAACGTACTTTGTATTGACGAACATCGTTTGTTGAAACGTATCCTTAAATCGATGACACAACTATACACAAGCTCAACAGAGTAACCATAGCAACTGAGTTGACAGTTCAGAGGCGTCAAACAGCTACTTATAGTGGTGAGTCAGAGTTCTAAATGTAACCCGTATCAAATACGTCATGATCGAATGATCGTTTTTTTTGTTGTTTCATTTATAAACAACATATGACTAGCCTCGTGTTTCATATGCATGAACAAAAACACATGTGTTGTATTTACCTTACAATTCTAAGTTTGTTGTTTGTTGTTGCTTAAGGACACTCTCAGCAAAACTCCAGCTTTATAACGAATAATAATCGTAAATAATCGAGTCTGGACCAGACAATCCAGTGATTGTCACCATGCGATACGATGACATAAGTCACAGAATATATGTTTATGAATCACTATCAAATGGCATTCCATCTCACATACACGTAAGGACTCGTGTCTCCAGTGAATTCTTCTGATTGTCAACACGTGTTTACACCATGTGGTCGACACATCTCACACCTCCTTCCTGTCTCTGTCGTTTTGTGTGGTGACTGTGTAGTTGTGGTCGGTGCTGAGAATGGTGTCTCGTCAAAGGGTGGTCACATGCACAGGATCTACAACAAAACAAAATAGCCTAAGATTGACAAGAAGAATTCAGTAATATTATTGTGGTATACACAGATTTAGGATCAAATGGTGACGTGACACCCAGGCGGACGCTGTTATAATGGTTTTGTTTGGACCAAACGCCATCGAGCTGGTCGGGGCCGGAAATGTTCCCCAGGCAATTGGATTTTCCTCCCTCCTCTCTATTCCGACATTCCTGTCAGCACCCGTTATTACAGGTACATCCTCTCTTGCTTCGTCAAAGAAAATCCTGATTATTGGTGTCAATATCTTGATTGACTGTTGTTAAACGCCGCACTCAGCAATATTCCAGCTATATGGCGGCGGTCTGTAAATAATCGTGTCGGGACCACACAATCCGGTCATCAACATCATGAGCATAGATCTACACAAATGGAATCCAATGATATGTGTCAACAAAGGCAGCGAGCCAGACCACCCGATACCGTTAGTCGCCTCTTACGACAAGCAAGGGTTGCTGAAGGACTAGTTTTAACCCATATTTTCACGGTGAAAATCGTGTGTAAATTGATGTATTGGTCTGTTGTAGTGAATGTGAAAACAGTTATATGCATGTCATAACGTCACAGGCATTACCCAGTCTGAACTATTTCCAGAAATAATTTCTGTTTGGTTTAAAGGATAAAAAAAGCTGTGAACAGTATCTGAATGGATCACTGAAAATCAGCGATGACGCCACGTGTTCGCCAAGGATGAGGATGTAACACTACCATTGCTGAGCCAGTATTTGATCAATGAGTACATTACAAAACCGAGTCTCTATTTCAGGAAGAGGGTTCTACATATTGCCGCACCACAGGAAGTGTAAAGTTGAGCAAGGTTGTGTATGATGACAGCACCATGATGGCAGTCAGGTGACTTAAAACTTGAGCATAACTGTATCAATGGATTGAGGGGAGATGTTCTACGGCTATGATGACTAAATCCCTAGTGAAGTATGACACAGTATATGATGGTATTAAAACCAAATTATATTTACACACACACACACACACACACACGCACACACACACACACACATTATATATTCGGTTCAGTTACATATGCTGTGCTTCATTTAATGTTATTAATGTGTGTAACATTTAATGAGTTCCTATTTCTGATATATTAGGAACTCATTGAGTTTCAAGGTTGTTCCGCACAAGCTTGTTGCAATTTTACCTTTACATGTAGAGCTTTGGCAATGCTCTGGTGTCTTTTTGTGCATGTGTTCATTGAGGTTGGCTTCTTCTCTTTCGGAAGCTTCGCCTTGCAGCCAAAAAGTTAAAGATTAATTGAAGCCACATACACACATGCCTAAGCATACCGATAGAAACATAACAAAATCCGTTCTTTAAATATACCGTTACACTGCATAATGTGATTTGTTCTGAAAAAAATACATGATAAGAAATATATTGTTATGAATATGGATATTGTTGTTATGAATATGGATATTGTTGTTATAAATGTGGACATTGTTGTTATGAATGTGGACATTGTTGTTATGAATATGGACATTGTTGTTATGAATATGGACATTGTTGTTATGAATATGGACATTGTGGTTATCAAAATGGACATTGTTGTTATGAATATGGACATAGTTGTTATGAATATGGACTTTGTTGTTTTGAATATCGACATTATTGTTATAAATGTGGACATTGTTGATATGAATATGGACATTGTTATTATGAATATGGAGATTGTTGTTATGAATATGGACATTGTTGTTATGAATATGGACATTGTTGTTATGAATATGGACATTGTTCTTTTGAATATGGACATTGTTGTTATGATTATGGACATTGTTGTTATGAATATGGACTTTGTTGTTTTGAATATCGACATTATTGTTATAAATGTGGACATTGTTGATATGAATATGAATGTTGTTGTTATAAAATATGGACATTGTTATTATGAATATTGACATTGTTGTTATGAATATGGAGATTGTTGTTATGAATATGGAGATTGTTGTTATGAATATGGACATTGTTGTTATGAATATGGACATAGTTGTTATGAATATGGACATTGTTGTTTTGAATATCGACATTATTGTTATAAATGTGGACATTGTTGATATGAATATGGACATTGTTATTATGAATATGGAGATTGTTGTTATGAATATGGACATTGTTGTTATGAATATGGACATTGTTGTTATGAATATGGACATTGTTCTTTTGAATATGGACATTGTTGTTATGATTATGGACATTGTTGTTATGAATATGGACTTTGTTGTTTTGAATATCGACATTATTGTTATAAATGTGGACATTGTTGATATGAATATGAATGTTGTTGTTATAAAATATGAATATTGTTGTTATGAATATGGACATTGTTGTTATGAATATGGACATTGTTGGTATAAATATGGACATTGTTATTATGAATATTGACATTGTTGTTATGAATATGGACATTGTTGTTATGAATATGGACATTGTTGTTATGAATATGGACACTGATGGTATAACCATGGACATTGTGTTTTGTGAATATGGACATTGTTGTTATGAATATGGATGTTGTCATTAATACGGATTTTGTTTTTATAATATGGACATTGTTGGTATAATGATGGACTTTGTTGATAAAAATATGAACATGGTTATTATGAACATGGACATTGTTGGTATAACCATTGACATTGTTGTTATGATTATGGACATTGTTGTTATGAATATGGACAATGTTGTTATGAAAATGGAAATTTTTGTTATGAACATGGACATTGTTGTTATAAATATGGACATTGTGGATATAAATATGCGTATTGTTATACATATCGACATTGTTATTATGAATATGGACACTGTTGTTATGAATATGGACATTGTTGTTTTGAATATGGACATTGTTGATACGAATATTGCCATTGTTGTTATGAATATAGACATTGTTGTTATGAATATGGACATTGTTGTTATGGATATGGACATTGTTGTTATGAATACGGACATTGTTGTTATGAAAATGCACATTGTTATTATGAATATGGACATTGTTGTTATGAATATGGACATTGTTGTTTTGAACGTGGACATTGTTGATATGAATATGAATATTGTTGTTATTAATGAGGACATTGTTATTATGAATATGGACATTGTTGTTATGAATATGGACATTGTCGTTATAAATGCGGACATTATTGTTCTGAATGCGGACATTGTTGGTATAACGATGGACTTTGTTGTTATAAATATGAACATTGTTATTATGAACATGGACATTGTTGGTATAGTCATGGGTATTGTTGTTATGAATGTGGACATTGTTGGTATAACCATGGACATTGTTGTTATGAATATGGACATTGTTGTTACGAATATTGACATTGTTGTTATAAATATGAACATTGTTGATAAAATATGAATATTGTTGTTATAAATATGGACATTGTTATTACGAACACGGACTTTGTTATTATGAATATGGACATTGTTGTTATGAATATGGACATTGTTGATATGAATGTGGACATTGTTGTTATGAATATGGACATTGTTGGTATAAATATGGATTTTGTTGTTATTAATATGGACATTGTTGTTATGAATACGGATATTGTTGTTATGAATATGGACATTGTTGTTATGAATATGGACATTGTTGTTATAAATGCGGACATTGTTGTTCTGAATGCGGACATTGTTGGTATAACGATGGACTTTGTTGTTATAAAAATGAACATTGTTATTATGAACATGGACATTGTTGGTATAGCCATGGGTATTGTTGTTATGAATGTGGACATTGTTGGTATAACCATGGACATTGTTGTTATGAATATGGACATTGTTGTTACGAATATTGACATTGTTGTTATAAATATGAACATTGTTGATAAAATATGAATATTGTTGTTATAAATATGGACATTGTTATTACGAACACGGACTTTGTTATTATGAATATGGACATTGTTGTTATGAATATGGACATTGTTGATATGAATGTGGACATTGTTGTTATGAATATGGACATTGTTGTTATGAATATGGACATTGTTGGTATAAATATGGATTTTGTTGTTATTAATATGGACATTGTTGTTATGAATACGGATATTGTTGTTATGAATATGGACATTGTTGTTATAAATATGGACATTGTTGTTATAAATGCGGACATTGTTGTTCTGAATGCGGACA